TAGTCAATGAAATAAGAGCTGGGGGGCCCTTTCCTGTCCCTAAGAGTATCCCTGCTCTTGCTGATGCTGGCTCTGCCTCTCCTTGGAGTCTCCTCCCGTATTGGAGGTGTGTTCAATCTTGTGATAATAACCTGGGCTTCTGCCAGGAAGGGGTGTGGTCCTATAAGGCCACCCAGAAAGCACCTTTGTTTATATGGTCACTCCAGGGTTTATTTGTCAAGAGCATGTCACTCGTGACATTACTCCCTGTTGGCCACAGGCCCCTCAAGGTGTCATTAGACTGGGGCAGCAGAAAGCGGGAGAAGGACAGGAAGTGCTCACAACTACTGTCTTCCCCTTTGTCCCTCTTTTTCTCATCCTTCATGGGTAGGGTGTTCCCTGCCTTGGGACTGGCACTGGTCTGTGATTCAGGGTGACTCTCCAGAGAAAAACTCTCACTGCTCTGTGCAGGGATGTGAGCTGGTGAGCCGCGCTCAGCCTGTGCCGCTCCCAGCCTCCTGGCTCAGGAGGCAGTGGTGGGCCACAGATCAGGGGCTCCTCCACTTCCCTTGTTTCACTCAGAACGTTTCCAATTGAACGAGAAAGTTTAAAAATTTCCTTTTCATGTTGAGCCAACTCTTTCTATAAAACTGGATTTTCAGTAATTTTTCAAGTAAAGGCGTGGAACTGGTACAATGTGAAAATTTGATCTATGTCCTGTCGTAGAGTCCCACATCAACCAGCTTAAACCAAGGAAACCATCATGTACAATGAATGCTAATAAACAAAAGTTTACAATGTTATTTTCTTGCATAATAAACATTTTTAAATAGGACCTTTTTTTAAAAAAAAAAATGTCAGTATCTAGTTGCCAACTGCCCTTCCTTGGGAAGACTGTCTTTTGCTCCGAAAACATATTTCCTATTTTTTTTTTTAGAGAGAGAGAGAGAGAGAAGTTTTTAATATTTATTTTTTAGTTTTCGGTGGACACAACATCTTTATTTTATTTTTATATGGTGCTGAGGATCGAACCCAGCACCCCGTGCATGCCAGGCGAGCGCACTACCACTTGAGCCACATCCCCAGCCCTTTCCTATGTATTTGATATGAAATTTCCTAATATTTATGAAATGCTGACAGTAATTTTTTAAATTTTTCTTTTTCTTTTTTTTTTTTTTTTTTGTGGTGCTGGAGATTGAGCCAGGGCCTTGTGCATTCTAGGCAAGTGTTCTACTGTTGGGCTACACCTCCAGCCCTAAAATATATTTATTTAGAAAAAAAATGCTGGCAATCTCAAATCAATTTTTACTATTAGATGTGCTCATGCTTTTTCTATGTACTCAAAGGACACAGAAAATCTACAGTCTAGAGTGTTGGAATGGTTTTTTGTTTGTTGTACTGGGGATTGTTGTACAAGGGCTGCTTAACCACTGATCCACATCCCCAGCCCTTTTTTATATTTTATTTAGAGACAGGGTCTCATTGAGTTGCTTAGGGCCTGGCTAAGTTGCTGAGGCTGGCTTTGAACTCGGGATCCTCCTGCCTCAGCCTCCCCAGCCCTGGGATTACAGGTGTGCACCACCATGCTTAGGCAGTGTTGGAGTGTTGATCCTATATGTGCACACTGCCTTTCCAGCCCAGAGTGGCATTGCAGGATGGCATGTTCAGGGTCCTGGGCCACCCCTCTCAGGCAGAGAGCCTTATTTCCCCTCTGTGAGGCCATTCTAAGAGGATGTTCATAAGCCCCTCTCTACCCCAACAGCCAGTCCTTCCACATGGCAGGAGTCAGGCTGCTTTGCAAAGACCCAGTATTGAAACATGGCCCACTGAGGACATGTGGGTAGGACATCTAGTATTTGTACATGCCCATTAGAAAGCTGGTCTCTGTTGTGCTGGAATCTATAATGCCATTGGTTAAACAAGATAACTACACAAATATTCAAAAACAACCAGAAGCAAGATATTAAAAATACCAACTGAGGCAGTGTTTAAATACATGGAAAGCATGATTTTTTTTTTTAATTTGGAAAATGAAAAGATCATCTCTGGCAAGGATGGTAGGGAAGAAGAGCATATGGGAAAGAGAATATTCCAGAGTCCCACTGTTGGCCTGACCCCCTCACTCACTATGGTACAGCCCCATGCTTARGTTTCCTCCTCTGTCATGGGAATAATATTGTGCCTACTTCATGCAGTTGTTAGGGACAGACTATAGTAAGCATTCRTGAAATGTTAACTTCTGTCCCCATCCTAGACAAGGTGATGCTTGGAAAGGAAAATGAAGAGCATGTTTGAAAAATGGCAAGTCATCTCATCTGGCTAGAAGGGGAGACTGGGGTTAATCCCAGGATGCACCAGAAGAGAAGTTTGGAAATAGAGGGGAAAGATTTCAAATACAGGGAAGTCACATAAGCCGATTTGCAGAGGACATCCTTGTGTTTGCTTTAGGAATGTTGAGCTGGAGGTGACAACAGGGCTTTCGGGTCAGATTCTGCTGTGGGAAATCAAACATTCTTCAGGGGCAAGGAGTAAGGCAAGAGGGGTTTTCGAGAGTCTTCTAGTTGATGCTTCTGGCAGGTTGGGGTTACTCGGACGTGTCTGCCAGCGAATCGGTGAATGTGGTGAGATGGTTGTGCGAGGGAAGAACTGGGGAAAAGAGGAGGGGGCCATCATGGTACTTCACTGAGACCACCACCACCTGGAAGGAAGGCCGATATGGAAACCCTGCAAACCTTCCTCTGTGATCTCCCTCCTCAGGCTTTCTGTTTTCCCCCGTCCCCCGTGCCACTGTCCCATGCATCACCATGCCAGGCTCCCCAACCTCACCATGTGGCTTCTGTGTCTCTCCACTAAGCAGGCCTCTGGGTCCAGGTCACTGCCTAGAMCACACGTGTGTCTACAGCATCATGCCAACAGCAGTAGCCCATAGAAAAAGCTGCAGGCATCCGTCAGCTGAGAGTCTGGTGACCAAAAGGGCCCATGTTTGCCCAGTTCCCAGAGTCGGAAGTATGATGTTGCATGAGAGGGAGGTGCAGCCCTGCTGGGTTCTTCAAGGTCCCATCTCACCTGCTTGGAAGGGGAACATGGACCAAACAGCATGCTTAGAGTCCCAGTTATGTCCCAGGAGGAAAACAATGGTGGGGAAAGCAGATGGCAAAGTGTGGGAAGGAATATTGGCTGTCTTCAAGTATTTATAGGCCCGTCCAGGGAAAGAAAAGGGACCTGTGCAGCCAGAGAGTGGAAGACCCAGGAGGGATTCCAGGAAACCTGGAGGTAAAAAGCTGAGCACAAGAGAAACTGTGCCAAGGACTAGAAACACATCGGAAGAGTCCTTYGCACCCAACGCTAAGGGGCCGCCGGACAGATGCCCTCTTTTCTGCTTTCAGAGGTTGTCAGGTGGATGGGCTCAAGTCAGACCAGGGTCTGCTGCTCTGGATATCCGAAGAGTGTTGCAGACAAAAACCTTGAATGATATTATACATGATAACCCCTTCCCAGGGAAGACTTGTTGAGAGGGGAAGATGGGGTTGCACCAAGTGGGGTTGAAGTTCAGAGAACAGGGAGATTACTCTAAGAAAGGACTTAAAGGTAACCAAGAGAAAATGTCCAGGAGGGAGGAGGATCATAGCACTGGGGCTAGGTGCATTCTGGAGTATTCTAAGAGTAAAACAACTGGAAGGAAAAAGATAATTGACTACTGATGGGGAGTGGGAAGGCACCTTTGTGGGACATTTCAGGAGTTTCTATGTATGCTGTGCTGTAAAATCCACTCTTCCGGGTCCTCAAAAGAGCCTGAAATGCTTTTTAAAAAATATTCCAATATTAGTTTTTTTATATATTTACTTTTTAATTGTAGGTGGACACAATATCTTTATTTCATTTTATGTGGTGCTGAGGATCAAACCMGGTGTCTCAYGTGTGCTAGGYGAACACTCTACCACTGAGCCACAACCCCAGCCCTTCCAGTATTAGTTTTTTGACACAGACTGAATATATGGAGATTTACAGACTAAAGCAGGGCACTTTCATTTGCACCGTTCGTGGGTTTTCCAAGAAAACCCAGTGTGGCCACTGTCACCATTAGGTTCTCCTGGCTTCCTCTGGAAAAGAGTTGTAAGAATCATGACAAGAGAGACCCCCAAATGGCTACTCAGACCTCCTCAGCCTCTTGCCAATACCCTGTTTCCAAGAGCCTCCAGCACCACGGATTCCTTTAGTCCCAGGATCTGGAGGAAGGTCCTGTGGGCTATGTCCTCCTGTCCTTCCTACAGGGAAGCAGGAGTTTCACTTACCTGGCGGCCTGCTCTCTCTGGCCTCGCCCCACGTGACGTCAGAGCTAGCTGGAGCTGTGTGATTTTCCCAGCACATTCCATTTCCTTCTGACTTTACCTCTTTGCTTTTTCTGTTTAACCTTGAGCCCACTGGGCACTCCTCTGCCAATTCTGCCCCACGTGTGGCAGGTGACAGACCATGGGGTTGCTGGAGGAACAGCCTCCCTGGATCCCTGCCACCTTTCTTTCTTGTGTGCACATGGACCTGGAAGTCCTAGCCCGTGACCCATGGGATCTACTGAATGTCCAGGGAGGAAGAGAAGCAGGGAGGGAGGGAGGGCTGGCAGTCACTGGGCGTGGCACCGTGAGCCCCACCAGGTGCCCTCTGTGCCACCCTGTGACTCACTCTGCCTGACACCTGCCTGGGACTTGGAGGAAGACTGGCAGGATCCCCTTTCCCAGAACATTCCCACTGACCACTCTCACTTCCCCACAGTCTCGGCCAGCTTGCTTTCTCTCTTCTGCTTCTTTTACTTTCGCAGAAATCTTTTCAAAGGAGAAGGAGAGTACAAAGAATAATGACTCCCACATCAGCGTCTGTTTTCCAAAGTACTCGGTGTCCTTGATTTCCACCCACCCAGCCTCACCCATGAGACTTCCATTCCTGGCTGCCTCATTGCAGGGCAGCCCAGGGCTCTGTCCTCTCCCTGAGTCCACTGTAAGTAATCCTCTCATGCCTTCTCTTTCCAGGGTTCCTTGGAGAATGTGACTCTGGCCTCTGTGGAAACTCAGAAGGCAGACCCTGCTATCGAACCAAGATTCAAAGAGGTGGATTGGGACAAGGTAGCTGGCACAGGATGGCAAGGGGTGATGATCCGGGAGTACTGGGGCCACGAGGGAATATGTGAAGCCAGAGGCTCTGGTATTCATGATGTGTTCCCAGGGAAGATGAGGAAGGGACACAGCTCACAAGCGTGACTAGGGGTAGCAAACCCAGGTGCAGGTTGTGGGGGTGCTTCTCTGATGGAAAACTGGAATGAATAGCACATAAGGTCTCTGTATGGAACCAGCCCCCAAACACCACTGGGGACAGTGACAAGGTCAGCAGACCCAGGCATGCCCAATTTTACCCATGCACACAGCAGAGCTGCCCCAGGCACCTGCAACCCCTCAGAAGAGTCACTGGTGGATACAGGTCTCGAAGCCTGTGGAAGCTGAGTAGGAAATGGGACTGGAGCCAACCTCAATGTCTAGGAGAAGCCAAGGATGTCCAGGAGTCTTACGATAAACTCCTCTTGGAGTGTAGAGGCCAAGCAGACCCCATGTGTTGTGAGGTAAGCCCTGGAAGAGCTGGGAGGTCCCAAGCGGACATGGAGGCTCTCAATAGCGAGCTGGGAAAAGTCATGTTGCCTGTTGGCTCAGGAGGAAACTGGGCTTGGATGTCATTTCTCTCCATCTGGGGTCATAGGACTGTCCCAAAGTCATGTTACCATTTCCTCTTGGAATAAATACTAGTATGCATGTTTATTTGGACAGGCAGTTTTAGATGCATGTCCAAAACTGCTGGACCTGTGTGTCCCACTCTGAAAGGGAGCCCCCACCCTGCTGGTGCCGGTGTGGTATGTCCCAAGGAAAGTTGGGAAATCTGCCCAGAGTGGCAGAGAGAAGAAACTCTGCTACTATTTACGACCAGCCAGGGAGCCGGGTGGGGGGAATCCCTTGGGCCCAGACCTTGAGGAGCTATAGTGAGGCTAAGAAGGCAGTGGCTTTGTCTCTGCCCAGCGTGCCCRGGCCTAGGGTGGTTCTGCACGTGGCTCTTGGGGCAGAGAGATTTGCCAGAGTTAACCTTCTGCCTCAAATTCAAGGTTGGCCCTCTAGATGCTGCCTAGCCTCCCTGGGCCCAGAAGCTGGGGAACCAAGTGGGCGGTGATGGAAAGAGTGAGGGCAAACTCGCAGGCATGCTGGGCCCAGGGTAGAATGGCCCGTAAAAAGGAGTGAGAAGCAGGAAGAAAGGCTGACAGCAGGAAGAAACCGCGCCCTGCTTCAAGGTGGGGTTTGGTCTGACCTTCAGGCTCTGTAAGGAACTTTACTGGAACGATTTCTAAATCATTCCTTCTACTGCCCCACTGGACAGGACCCAATCTTCTCTATATGAGATAAGAAACCAGGCGGCAGCTCCTCACTCTGCACATCTCTCTCGGTTTTCAGGAGCCCAGCTGGCCTGAGGCTGGACCTGTTCCAGTGGCCAGAGCTGCCTGCTGCTCTTGGCTTCTGGGCACACCTCTTTCCTTTGTCCTTGTGTCTCCTGTGTCCTTTTCAGAGCCTTGGGAGCCCTCCCCACCCTTCTCACTCTGATGGAACAGGTGGGATTTGAAGGGTTTGGGGAAGTTCCCTGCACAGATTACACACACACACACACACACACACACACACACACCATAATTAGCACCAAATTAGTGCTTCTTTTATTAAGTTCTTACCTCCAAGCCAGTCTTTTAAATGTATTATCTTTTATCTGATTTGCTTCTGCTAACAACACGAGGAGATAAGGATTATAATTATCCTGATGTAACTAATGAGGTGGAGCTTAAGTCTCCTGCCAAAGTCACTTGGCTGCAGGTCAGCAGCCCAGCTGGCTGGCAGTACYGGCTGAGCCCTCTCCTCCCTGCTCCCCCCATGTGTCCTGCAGTCTTTTTACCCTGACAGCTGGGCCTGTGACTGGGACAGGGGGTGGCAGACAGGGGGAGGYATTTCCAAAACCCCAGCACATCCTCTTCCTCATCCAGCCTTTGGCTGAGCCAGATTCCTGCAGAACCAGCTTCCCGCCACCCAAGAGAAGCTGTCAGTGGGTGTGGGCCACACTTTTCCCTCAAGGGACAGAAGCATCCAGACAGGTGTGTCACCAAACCCAATGCAGTGGTCCTTGTCCCTGACCATTGCCCAATACTACGCACACAATCCTTGTCAACAGGAGCTCCTCCAAGTGTCCCCAGAGACTGGCAAAGGTRTTGATGTTGACCCCATGAATTCCACCCTTTTGGGCCCCTCAGATAAGTGACTGAGAACTCGGGAATATAACTCCTGGATCAGAACAAGGGCTTTTGTGGCAAACCTGCCTCTGGGGAAGGACAAAACTCAAAGCTGTGGGTAACAGCTTGGATCACCTCTGGGCGCTCTGCCACCTCCCAGCCACCGTGTCCTCTGGTRAAGGGAGGGTCACTAGGAGGCTGCCTCTGTGGATATGAGCTTGTCGCAGTTMGACYGTGCAGGACAGGCCTGCAGCAACCCCACAAGACCATCAAGAATCTCACCTCCCTGCCCCGGCTGACCGCTGCACCAGACACCAGAGCCTCTGGGCTGAGGAGGCCACAGCTACAGGGGCCTGATTCAGATGACCAGAGGCCTCCCAGAGTGCGTTCTGAGCTGGACGCCCAGGTTCCAGGCCCTGCCCCACCACCAAGAGCTGAACATCTGACCCTCACCTTCCCATCTATGCAATCAGATGGTCCCAGTCTCCATCTCAAAAATTGAGGCTCAAAGGATAATGGACWTGAGGCCCCGGCTCAGTAGGGCCATGAAAAGTGTGCAGAAAATGTAGCCAGGATTCTTGGGGAGWTTCTTGTCCTTCCTCCCCTCCCCTCAGCCTGCTGCCTGGAAGCCCGTCCTCCGCCTGTCTGGCTCAGAAAGCTGCCCCGGAGCCATGGGCTCTGGGGTTTGGGTGGACRTTTCTTTAAACAATTGCCTCAGCTCATGGCCATGGCTGTGGTGGTGGGAGGAGCTGCTGGCCCTGAGCAGCTGCCCCCTCGGCCCCCATTTCTCCTCTGGGGAGAAGCWGATTTTCAGCACTGGCTCCTTGGCTGCCTCTGAGAAGTGTTGCCTAGGAAGAGAGGGATCTGGGGAGTGGGAGGGAGAGCAGAGGTGACCCCCTCCCCACCCTGGCAGCAGGCCCCCTGCCCACACTCTGCTCCAGGCCGCAGAGCRGGCCACCCTTTCCCCTGCTGCAGGCCACATTCCTGGCATAGTCCAGACAGGCCCTCCTCTTCCTGCTGGAGCAGGGGCAGAGCTGGGAGGGGGAGGGCCCTGTGGTGCACAAGGTGTTTGGGCCAAGTACATCTGCTTCCTGGGGCCCAGCCTGGTGCTCAGGTCTGTGAATCACCACAGGACCCCTCTAACGGCAGCAAACTGCCCACTCTGGTGTCGTTTCTGGGCATATCCTCACCCTCATCCACACAGTCCTGCTGGGGAAACCTAAGTGCTGGATTTGACCTCTCTGAGTGTCAAGTTCCACAGCTGTAGGAGGAGGATTTGGTGTTTTATTGTGAGTGAGGTGCTGGAAGCCCCCAGGTGCATGGAAACTAGAAGCCTGATCCATGGCATATTCTCCCCTTCTTTCTCCCAAACAAGAAAAGATTCTTGATGGTCTTGTGGGGTTRCTGCAGSCCTGTCCTGCACAGKCKAACTGCGACAAGCTCATATCCACAGAGGCAGCCTCCTAGTGACCCTCCCTTTACCAGAGGACACGGTRGCTRGGGAGGTAGCAGAGCGCCCAGAAGTGATCCAAGCTGTTACCCACAGCTTTGAGTTTTCTCCTACAAAAGCCACAGACCTTTGCCACATCTTCCCAATATCTCCCAAGCCTTAAGCAATTTCAAGGTCAGAGGGACCAGGACATAGTGCCAGCTGGGAGGGAGAGAGAGCAAGGGGCCAAGGGGTCCCCAGCCCAGTAGAGTAGAAGTGAAATTTATCTTGAGTCATTTTCTGAACCTCATAGAACATTGCCAGAGAGCAGGCAGCTTCTGCCATTCTCCAGTCTCAAAACCAGTTCCCAGCCAGCTGCCATATTGGAAATGACCAGCGTGTGACAGGCATTGAACCCATTAGCACCCAGCTGAGACTGTTTCCCTCAGTGGTCAGGACTAGGCCTGGAAGAGAGCTGAGAAAGGACACCCTGTCAGTGCATGCACAAGTTAAACCAAGGTTTAGCACCCAGGGGACGTCCCCAGCTCTTKCGAAGTTGTGTGGAGGGTGCTACAAGCTAGAGTAAAAGGGTAAGGTAGTTCCCAGTGCAGGACTAATGAACCCCATCTTGAGAGTCACTTAACCTCTTGGACTTCAGTATTCTCATCCCCAAAACAGGAAGCAAGTCAGCTACTTGGGGAGGCTGAAGCAGGAGGATCACAAGTTCAAGGCCAGCCTAGGCAAATTAGTGAGACCCTGTCTCAAAAAAATAGAAAGGGCTGGGGATGTATCTCCATGGTATAATGCCACAGGGTTCAATCCCTAGTAGTAGTAGTAGTAGTAGTAGTAGTAGTAGTAACAACATCAACAATAAATTAAGTAAAATGGGGAGGAAGCCAATGGGCCTGGATTTCTGTACCCAGATGGATGGAAGAGTGGGGCTGAGACCCTTGCAATAGGATTTTAGGTGTTGGCTTTTGATGACCAAGGGAGTTTTCTGCAGAGTGCTTATTCAGACACTAGAGTGAAGTGACTCTCCCTRAGCATTGAGGATGTCTATCTCAGAAACATGTAATATGAGCTGGAGGTGTGCCACAGGCAGCCTAGAGGGACTGACGAACAGCAAGCCGGCCATGTGGACAGAATGCCAGGGCCTGCCGGACTATCCAGGGAGTGACTGAAATCATGTCCRAAGGTCAAACGGGTAACAGGACATCAATGACAAACCCATGTGTTGGAGGCGGGGTGACTCTGTTCCTGCTAACCCAGTAAACACCTCTTCGGCAATCTAGTTCCCACCTCCATACCTGCTCTATTCCTGTTTCCATCACAGGAGGGTACGAGATTTAGGCTGGAGTCTCTACTTGATCAGATCACTGAGACGTTTCTTCCAGGGTCTCATTGGAATTATTCTTCTGAACCCTATACTGCTTTCCACTTGCTTTACAAAGTAAGGGGGAGCCAGCTGTMGTGGCACCCACTGTATAACCATAGAGACTCAAGAGAATGACGTGGGAGGATCACAAGTTTGAGGCCAGCCTGCACTCAGCAAAACCCTGACTCAAAATAAAAARGGATGGGGATGTAGCTCAGTGGTAGAGCACCCCTGAGTTCTATAGGTCAAATGGGTCAATAGGTCAAAATCCACCCAAACCACTGCTAGGTAGAGAGAGATTCCTGCCTGGTCACATCCCTATGCTATAGCTAGAAATGTTTGTTTTTAAAGGTAGCTAAGTCCAAATTAAGTGTACAAATGAAACACAGGCATGGGGGGAGGTGTCCTGTGTGACGTGCAAAAGTGGGACAGATAAAAACCAGGGGTTTGCCTTGGGACAAATGGTGATAAGTTAAGGATGCCTCTCATCTTACAGCAACTCTGGGGGAGACACAAAATGACACAGCTCAAAACTAATAGAGAAGATAGTACAGAATATTTTATTTAAAATAATTAAGGCAAACAAGAAGAACAGAAGYTCTCTAATCCCAGTGACTTGGGAGGCTRTAACTGGGCAACCTCCACAGGTACCAGTCTCGGTTTCCCCATCTGCAAAGTGGTAATAATTTTAGTGRCTGCCTAGTTGGGGTGTGTCAAGGAGCAAATGACTTAATCCACATCTAATATTTCAAGCCGTGCTTGGCCACATTGCAAGGGTTCTGTCACTCTCAGGGTATTGCCCTTGGGACAGAGTTTTAAGCTCTCACCGTGACCCTGGYCCAGCTTATTTGGAGGTGAGGCTCCATCGGTGGCTCAAGATAAGATGCAAACACAGGCCACTAGCTGGTTCCTCCAGTTCTTTTTCCTGGCGCTGGAGCAAGGTATGCAGGGGTGCATGTTTAGAGAGCTAGGGTGGAGGAGTGGAAGGAAGGGGACAGCATGCAGCCAGTGGATCTATCTGCTGCTAGACCCAAGGGAAGAGGTTAAGGAGCCTGGGTTGGGGAAGGAGCCCAACTAGGTGAGGTTTGAATGGCTGCTTCTTTAGCTGGTGCTGGGGTGAGATGGCTTGGGTGACCTGGTTATCTCCCAGCCACAAGAAGGCAGCCAGCACCTGGGATGTGCAGGAGCCACAGCCTACTTTGGGCCTTTTCCCCAGACACAGGCACAGGGATAATGTCCAGTGGCATTACCTGCCTGCTCCTAAGCTGTGATGGCAACACTAGCTGTGACTTCAGAGGAGCTGGGAGCACGTGAAGGGACGAGAAGGCTGGCTTTGGGATTGTGGTTGGCTGTCATTCCCAGGCTTGCAAGGTCTTCYTCCCTCCAGCTGTCACTCCTGTCCTCTCCCCACTCACCTGCTGTGGCTACAAACCTCCCTTGTATTGGAGATTGATTGAGCACCCACCATGTGCTGTACCTCACCCTTATTCTGACTGTAGGTGGAGGGACAGATGAGAAAACAGAGGGACTCTGAGAGGTAAAGACTCTTGCCCAGGATCTCACAAAACTRATACATGGCAGAGCCAGGCTTTGAAGGTCATCTCCTGACCTTCATTATTTCTTCATCCCATATTCATGTTCTTTACTGTTTTGGGCTCCAGATTAATCCTCTTCAGTGCACTGAGTCATCCTAAATCTTCAAGGATTTCCCAAAGGTGTGGACTCCAGTTTTTTTAAATTAAATTTTACTTTTAGTTGTTGATAGAACTTTATTTTTATTTATTTACATGTGGTGCTGAGAATCAAACCCAGTGCCTCACACATGCTACCACTGAGCCACCACCCCAGCCCCCTGACTCCAGTTTTTAAAATCTGCCTCCCTATGAGTAAAACCTTGTGAGCATGTTCTCCATTACATGCTCATTCTAATCATCTATAAATTATTTGCTTATGCCAATGTATCCATTCTGTGCATTAGAACACATTCACATGTGGGTTGAAGGTGGGATGAATATATCTCTAATATTTTCCCCCTGCCTCTGGGATTGAGCCGGTGAATACTGCTGGGGTATGCATGCATCATGCATAATGAACACTTAATGCAAGTGCCGTTATTACTTCCATTTTATAGCTGGGAACACCAAGGCTCAGAGGAGTCAAAAAAAATTATTTGGAGAAATTATTCTCAATTAATCTCTAAATAATTTCTGATTAAGTACTAAGCTTTATGAAGCAAAGATGGTGTCTTACATTCCTGTTGATTCTTTCCAGCACTTAGTACATACACACATGTGCTCGCTTGCGTGCTCTCTCTCTCCTTCTCTCCTTCTCTCTCTCTCTCTCTCTCTCTCTCTCTCTCTCACACACACACACACACACACACACACACACACACACACACCAAATGTTAAGCAAATTGTTAAATGAATGATTATTTGAAAGGGTGAATAAAGAAATTACCCAGGCCAACACAAAGAAGAAAACCCATGTTGGAGGGGAAAGGCCCTATTTTGTTCTTGATATAGAATATACTGACTCCTATGTTGCAGGAGTTCAGARCAAAACTACAGGTTTCCACTGTGGCTGAATTCAGGTGCTCAGGAATTCTGCTTCCAGCTGTGGCCTGGCCATCCTCTATGTAAACTGAGTCCTTAGGCCGGCTCTGCTAGCAACCTCATCAGGAAGCTCACTGAACCAGCTTAACCTGCTTAGGTCATGGGATTGTTCTGGATCCCATTGATGTAGCCAGGAGTTGTGGTGTGCGATCAGTTCTGGATCCTGAATCAGGAGGGTGGGTACTCCTAACAGACTGCATGAGCCGAGAAGTGTGGGGAATGGGTTGCTATAACCAGAAGATGGGGGAATACATGGGGGAGTGGGAAGGYATGAATATACAGGGTCCACCTTGTCTCTTGCAGGACCTGGTGGACTGGCAGAAGCCTCTCCTGTGGCAGGTGGGCCACTTGGGAGAAAAGTATGATGAGTGGGTCCACCAGCCTGTGACCAGGCCCATTCGCCTCTTTCACTCAGACCTTGTCGAGGCCCTCTCCAAGACTGCCTGGTGAGCCCTGCAAGAAATCTGTGGTTGGCTGTCCTTCTCTCCTGATAGTACCAGCTAGTTACAAAAGAATAGGGCAATCAGGTTCCTCCCTGGAATATAGGGATGTACTCTAAGCTCTTGGGGAGGGTGGGACATGCCATAGACATAATCTATTCCTGTGCATGATTTTGTCCACTCACTCAGTGTAACCAGAAGCCTACGTGTAACCAGAAACCACTTTGAATGCCACCCCTAGTCTATTTCACATTCCTCTTCTGGATTAGCAGTCCCCAATGCCATAGGAAAATTTTTACCTGCAATTAGCTATTCTGCCACAAGAGGTCAGTGTCTATCCAGCTGCACAAAGTCAGCAGCAATGGGATGAGGTTCTTTTCTCCCAATGACACATCTCAGACAAGGGTAGATGGACTCACAACCCACTAGTATCCTTTAACTCCAGGTCTCCGATACTTTCTACATGTGCTTTCTACATATGCTACATCAACTTGTCCTCTCCCCAGTTGAACTGTGTGTCACTAGGAAAACTGAACCTGATGGAACTCCCATGCATGTATCTCTCTCACCCGATGGCTCTCCTGCAGGTATTGTGTGCCCATCATCTGGGTGCCCCTGATGCTGTACCTCAGCTGGTCCTACTACCGAACTCTTGCCCAAGGCAACGTCCGCCTGTTCACATCGTTCACAACAGGTAATACCAGGTTCCTTTCGGATTTGTTCCCATGGGTTCTGGAGGCAGGAGATCTGTGTGTTCCTTCTCTTATGCCTATATTTCTAAGAGCAGAAGACCCCAAACCACATACCAAGATTCTAAATGAGGCCTATGCATAGAAAACTTTGAAACATTTTGGCAGACTTCCATCGGACCCCAAAATGGATACAAAACTCAGCAACACATCAGCAGAAACTAAACAAAGTCATTTCCCCAGATGGCATAGCAATAAACAGGTTGGGACAGGGGCGGCAGGGGTGTTCTCAATGAGTCTAATACCAAGAAATATAAAACCTGAGATTCTTTGTCAAGAAACTAAGCAAGGGAGCTGGGATTGTAGCTCAGTGGTAGAGCACTTTGCCTAGCATGTATGAGGCACCGCATTCAATTCTTAGCACCTCACATAAATAAATAAAATAAAGGTCCATTGAAAGCTAAATATATGTATATATTTATAAATATGTATTTATAAATATATTTATATATTTATAAATATGTATTTATAAATATATGTATATATTTACAAATATATATTTTAAATATATAAATACATGTAAGTATAAATATATTTAGCATATTTATATATTAAAATAAATATATTTAAATATATTTAAAATATATATGTTTATATAAAGAAACTAAACAAAGCCAGTCACAGTGGGGCACACCAGTAATTCCAGAAACTTGGGAGGCTGARGCCAGTCTGGGCAACTTAGCAAGACTCTATCTCAAAATAAAAAATTAAAAGGGCTGGGGATGTAGGAAAGTGGTGGAGCACTTACATAATGTGCACAAGGCCCTGGGTTCCATCCCCCGCACAGCAAAAGGAAAAAGAAGAAGAAATAATAAAATGAAATCATTTTACCAGKTGGCACGGCTGAGAGCTAGACTCAGACTGGTCTGCAATCAGAGCACAGATCAGCAGAGAACCCGGGAGAGGCAGATCTGGGAGGGTCCTAGCACATGTCCAAGGCAAAGGACTATGCAGCAGATCCCTAGCCTGGGAGTCACACCACGCCCTCTGCTGAGCGCTCAGCCCGGTGCTTTTGGGGGACTGGCGCCTGGAGCCCCCTTAGCCCAGCAGCCCTATGGGATGTCATCCCTTCTTGAGTCTGAGGAGATGCAGTCATTGCTCAGTGAGTCCGTGCTTCAAAACATCWTGCCGGACACAGGAAGCACACAATTTGATCTGCCAACTTCAAAAAATTACAAGTAAGGTTGAGGAAATAAAGCCTCTCAGGTGTCAAGCAAGGGATCCAGGTTCCTGTGGCCCAGGATGTAGAGACAAGGTGTCCAACAGCTTCTAATCAGGGGACAGAGGACAGAGAGAGGGGTGGACACGGGCCCTGTAGGACCAGGTATCTCAGAGTGGCCATGCTGCCAACCTGCCCCACAAACTCACTGCATAGCCTGAGCCTCACCTGCCCAGGTGGTCTGTCTGGCACCTCCGGGAGGTATCAGGAGTACCATGCCTCTCAGAAGGGCGTCCTCTGCTGATCACAGTCACATTCCTGACTCTGAGCCCTGCTCAGTCTACCAGGTGCAGGTGCTGACTCCTTCCCCCATATCCCAAGGCTTTGCTCCTGCTCACCTCCCCCAGGGGCAGCAAGTCAAGRGCTTAAAGGTTTAAAGAGGGRCCATGACCACAGCGATGATGGGAGCCTCCGTTTATCCGCCTCACCCAGGATGAGGCGTGGATGAGCAAGTTGGAGGCAGCCCCCCTGCAAGCCAGCCCAGAACTGCTGCTCCCAGTCACCAGGGGTTACCGTGTGTGCCCTGCGAGCCAAAGTCAGCCTTTTCTGCCCACACTGAATAGCTCAGGCACAGCACARGGCCTGTTGCTCAGAAGGCCCCTGGCTGAATCGCCCACTGTCCACCCAGAGCTCCCCTAACAATCACTGACAGTGGCAGGGCCGCCAGGGCTGGCTGCCGGAGGGGGAAGGGGACACTGAAGCTTTGGCCCAGATCCCTCTGCCGGATTCCTCCCGAGATGCCACTCAGTACCAGCTCCAGCCGGCTGGGCAGACAGGGTGATGCTGGGGTGAGGGGGCGGGCRGATGCTTGACCTATAGGAGGGGACCGTTCTGCATGGCAGGGAGGGCAATTTGAGGACTCCTCAGCAGCACGGGCCTCTGCAAGCAGCTAAGATGTGCCTGTGTGGTCCAGTGTGGAGGGCCAGTAAGCCTGTGACCACGAGGCCAGCAAGATGGCATGATCCCCCAGCTCGTCATGCAAGACACAAGACATGGAGCACATAAGAGCCCGCAAAGCAAGGCAAGGGGATACTCAGAGGAGTCCCAGTGCCATAGCTGGACAAAGGGATGCCCTAGAATCAGTTCAGAAGAGTCGGGGTGCCAGTAAGCAGTGCAAGCTGAAGGGAGACACTAGTTCAAGGCTGAAGTTCCTAAATGTAAATCAATCTGTCTAAGGTCATTTTGGTGCTCTTAATCCTATTACCTTATCACCTCTTGCCCCASRGCAACCCCATGAAAAGCCAGCTATATTCTGCAAATTCAGAATGACCCCCAGGGCACGTTAGGACTATCAGGATTCCTGAGACAATGTTAAAGTAGGGCCCAGCCAGAACTATTGCTGAACAGCATCCTGGAGGAGGATGTTGGCCTCCAATAGGATTGTGCTGTGGGAGCCCTGGCAAAGGTCAAGGCCAAACTCTGCAACCAGGGACTATTCCTGTGTGTCTAGTCCTATGTGTCCAGAACTACATGACAAAGAAGGGTACCTTCAAGATCAAGGGAGAGCCAGAGAGGAAACTCCTTTTCCCTCAACAAGAGACCCTGTAGAACTCTGCTGAGAGAATCGAAAGAGAAAGGGTAAAAGTAGGACTCTCAGAATTATTAATATACAATGAGGGATTATTTGTTTTTTTGTTTTATTTTGTTTGCAGTATTGAGGATTGATCCAGGGACACTTTATCACTGAGTTACATCCCCAGCCCTTTTTAAGATTTTTAAATTTTAAGACARGGTCTCACTAAGTTGCCCAGATTGGCCTCAACCTTGCAATCCTCCTWCCTCAGCCCCCTGAGACACTGGGATAACAAGCTGGCACCACTGCTCGTGGCTATATATTCTTCTTCTTATAGAACCAAACACATATGCTTATCATATAATCAGGTATTGTATTACCTCCACCCTAAAAACAGCCCTTCAAGGTGGATAGGTATTTAACTGTAGGTAAGGCAGATCCGGATTTGAAAGCAGGTCTGCAAATCCAGAGTCCATGTTCTCTGCGCTTCCCCAGAGTGCTCTGAAGGACCCCAGAGGAGTCAGGACTTCCCTGGAAGCTGGGCCTCTTGCTACCCAGAGCTGACCAGCCAGGGCCAAATGGCTACTTGCAGTCAAAGCCAGTGAAGCTGTTAGGCCAGCCCCTTGGACCAAAGGTGGGCATGGCAGGCCCCGCTGACGAGAGGTGTTCGACCAGCTTGAAACCTGATGAGAGAGATGCAGCCTTTGGGGTTGAATCTTGGCTGCATCACATGTCAGTTCCATGGAGGTTCATTCAGACATCAGGGTGGGGCTTGGCCTGAGTCTGGCCAAAGAACCTCCTACCTTTCCAGCCTTTCCTCCTTCCTCAGCAGCCCCCATGGTCATTGGTCCAGGGCCTGCCAGAGCCTACAGACAGCCCCAGCCCCTCAGAAGAAGCTCCTTAACCAAACCCAAAGCTGCCTCCCTCTGGGCCTGCCTCTGCCCTGGGAGTGGCAAAGGTCTAATCTCATCCCCACAATGAGGTTTTCCTCTGTTATTCTCTGTGCACTACAAAATGAAGGACCCAGACCCCACCCCTAAGATTCTTAGCACCTAGTGGGTGGAGGTGGAAGAGAAAAATGGCCCACAGTACAGTGCAGTTCCAGGTGATGTAGGCAGGCGGAGCAAGAGGCAGGAACAGCCCAGTGGGTGAAGGCATCTGCACAGGCCTCACTCATGGGCTGGATCTCCAGGGCTAAGGCAGGCAGGGGGATTCCAGGGAAGGAAACAGGAGCGGAAGTACAGAGCTGGGGGGAAAGAATGCAGTATATCTAAGGAGCCACAAGTRATTTGGTTTGGCCCCAGTAAGGTGACAGAGTCCAAACCTCAGTTGGGGATGTGGTCAGCAAGGTCAGATCTTGAGACCTGAGTGCTCTGCTGTGGAGACTGGACTTTGCCTAAAGGCCATGAGGCACCATGGAAGGTTTTAACAGCATGTGGAGGCGGGGGAAGGGGGGCCTGCTGGGGTTGCCATGGGGCAAGAGGTGATAAGGTAATGGGATTAAGAACACCCAAACGACCCTAGACAGACTGATTTAAATTGAGGTGAGATCCATATACCATCAAATTAGCCATTTTAAAGTCTACGGTTGCTGGGCACAGTGGCGCACGCCTGTAATCCCAGTTGCTCAGTAAGCTGAGGCAGAAGGATCACAAGTTCAAAGCCAGCTTCAGCAACTTAGTGAGGCCCTAAGCCTGTTGGACATGCGGGGCGGGGGGGCGGGGGGGGGAGGCAGGTTGAGTCTGGCTCCTTTGGAAATGTGAGAACCCCTCACTGAGGAGGGAGCCCAGGAGGAACAGCCTAAGGGCAGAGGTGGGTGGCAGAAGAAAGAGTGGCTTCTTTGGGGGGGATGTTAGCTATGGGGCCTGTGCACACATGGAGATGCCCAGTAGCAAGCAGCCATCCAGGGGAGGGTTGGAAGAATAGACAAGGGGGTCGTCAGCATGTGGGGAGTGGCTGAAGTGAGATTGAGCAGAGAGGGTGGAGAGGCAAGGCTCAACCCTGGGAACAGAGGCAGAGTTTTCCTGAGACAGCCTGAGAAGGGACAGATAGGCACATCAGTTGACGGTGGCCATGGTGCACAGCTCGAGGTATCCCAAAGAACCACTGAACTGCACACTCTCTGCAGGTGGTGTATATGGCACAAGAACTGTATTTTGATATAGCTGTTATSTAGAAAGAGAAAGTATGGCCGAAGGGAAGGCAGGTGGGAGAGAGGGAAAGATCAGAGGGTGAGGATAGACACAGAGGAAACTGGACCAGAGCCGAAGGGACAAGGATTGAAGTCCTCGTGAGGTCAAAGGCAGAGTGGGGTGGAGAGAAGTAGCAAGAGTTGCAAGGGCTGCAGGGTGTCCCCGCCCCCTGACCTTTGAAAATCATTAGGTCTGTCCAGCCTTCCCGTCCCCAGCCCAGGCCCGTCTTGAGTTCTCTCAGGTCTTCCTCGCATGCTGTGATTTCAGGTCTTGTCTGCTGAGATTTCTACTTGGGTTTTCCTGCCCTTCCTGCCCATGGTCCCCAATCTTCCATCAGAAACCCCTGTCTCTACTGGCTTTGTTGGGATTGTCTCTTCTCACCCATGCCACTGTGGCAAGGTCACCCATCCAGGCAGCAGCCCGGCATCTGGCCGTGGCTCTGCTTCCTACAGTCCTTCTAAGGAAAACGTCAGCCCTCTGGCCCTAGCACCTTTGCTCTGCTAAAGAGCCTCTCCCAAGCCTAGTACAGGTCCTCACAGCCTCTTCCCAGTTTCACCCAAGGCCTCCAACAGCTCCCCAGCTGCCCAGGGGTGATGAGGTGGGGACATCCAGAGCCACCAGGCCTTGGTGTATCCTGGAACCCATCAGCTCTGACTCAGGCCTCTCTGCCTCTCCCACAGAGTACTCAGTGGCTGTGCCTGAGTCTGTGTTCCCCGGCCTCTTTGTGCTGGGGATATTCCTCTGGAGCCTCATCGAGTACCTCATCCACCGCTTCCTGTTCCACATGAAGCCTCCCAGCAACAGCTATTACCTCATCACRCTGCATTTCGTCATGCACGGCCAGCACCACAAGGTCAGTAACAGGGCCCACCACCTGCAGCTATAACCAGCCCCCCAGCGGTGGATCTTCCTTGGAGTCTGATGTTGGGCTGGAGTGACAGGAAACCAAGGGTGTTTGATATTGCTGAGTTGGATAACTGGATTGGGCATCCTAATCTGAGCCAGGTGGACAGAGGGAGCATGTGTCTGCACAAACTCCATTGTTAGTTATTTAATTGTTGGTTTCGGGGATTGAACCCAGAAGCACTTTACCRGGGAGCTACATCCCCAGCCCTGTTTATTTTTTTATTTCGAGACAGGGTCTCACTAAGTTGCTTAGGTCCTTGCTAAGTTGCTGCTAAGGCTGGCCTGGAACTTGTGATCCTCCTGTCTCAGCCGCCCAAGTTTCKGGGATTAAGGCRTGTGCCACTAGGCCCTGCTCCATTGTTATTGACCCAGGTACTCTGCATGCATCATCTTCTTCAATCCTCACAATAACTCACCCATTCACTCACCCCACATATGTTCACTGAGTGCTTTCTATGGGCCAGGCCCTGTGCTAGAGGAAACAGTCAAAATCCTTGCCCTGGGGGTGGCTGCTAATCCTCCTCCTCCTCTTCCTCTTCCTCCTCCTCCTCCTCCTCCTCCTTTTTAAGTGGGGGTTGAATCTAGAGGCCCTTTACCACTGAGCCACATCCCCAGCCCTTTTCATTTTGAGACAGGATCTGGATAAGTTGCTGAGGCTGACCWTGGACTTGTGATCCTCTGTCTCAGCTTCCCAAGTCACTGGGCTTACGGGTGTCAYGGCACCCGGCTGCCCTTGTGGCTCYGTTCCACAGACCAGGAAACTGAGCTTTGGGGASTCTAGGGAACTCCACAACCCACCCAAGGTCACACCTGGCACTGCCAGGATGTTGTGCCTCATTCTGTGGCCTCTGGCATCTGTGCTGTGAAGCACTCACCCCCTTGGGGCACTTCAAGGACTATGTGACTTTAACAGAAGTGGGGACTAGAAGCCAGATCTGCCCTGTACTGTGCTGTCTTTGTCCTTTCCCAGAGTGAACCCCAGGGAGTCCCCAGGATCTAGACTTCCCTGAACATTTATATCTTCCCAAAAGTGAGTCCTTAAACTGGGGATGTAGCTCACTGGTAGAGCACTTACCTAGCACGCAGGGGGCCATGGATTCAATCCCAGATACCAAAAGAAGAAGGAGGAGGAAAAAAATAAGGGTGAGTTCTTATCCCTCACATTCTGTTTCTTGCTGGGCATGAATCAGACGGATGTGGCACGGAAAATACTTTTAGGACACWGTTCAGATGTAGAAAAAAGAAGCAAAACTTTAAGACCCTTATATTGCTGATAATGAACTTTGGTCTCATGGCAGCAACTCAGCTTCACTTGTCTGAAGGAGTTCAGTCAAACTCAGGATTTAATGACCTACTGAGAGAGTTGTCAGGTGGGTGGATGTGATACTCACCCTGTTTTTCCAGAACGGATCTGTATTCCAGGGGTCCTATGTAGTAGCCAGTCTTGGTTGCGTGGCCAATCCTGGGCCAACCTGTCACTCAGGTATGCTCTAAGAGTTGCCAGACCCCACCTGGCCAATGTCCTTCCTCCAGGTTGACATTCAGCCCATCTGACCCCTTCTCTCCCAGGTGTGCTGCATCTACAGCCATGTCCGTGCCCCACCCCACCCACCGCCCCGTGGCTTTCTCGATGCCTGTCAGATCTGCTGCCTGCTGTGTTAACTTCACCATCCTCAGAGGATGAAACAACTTCCTGACKATCTGCTGAGGTCACCCTGGGGTCCCAGGGGCTGTCTCAGTCTCCCTTTCATAGACACTTCCACACCAATATGTCTAGGCCCCCCGCTGCCTCACCACACCATGAGGACACCAAGAGCCTGTGTAGCCTGTAGCCACCTGGGCTCCAACAGGAACCTCTTCTCAGATGTCCAGGGCTATCTGAGGGTCCTAACCCAACTGTGACTTGCGGCTGGCTTAGACCACTCACAAGAGAAATAACCCACACCCCTTCCAACTCCACTTTCAGTGACGGTAGCTTGAGATCGGCTCTGGTAGAGGCATGTTCACCATGAGAATTATCAAATGCTCCAAATCAGGGCTCACTCCTTCCCTCTCCCTTTCTCCCTCATCCTCCCTCATCCTCCCTCTGTCCTTTTTCTGAGAGCTGGTTCTCTAGCCCTGCATGGGTCCCATTGCTGCTGGTCTGAGTGTAGGAAGACCCACATTGCCTGCTCTCGCTCTCTCGCGCGCGCGCGCGCTCGCTCTCTCTCTCTCTCTCTCTCTCTCTCTCTCTCTCTCTCTCTCTCTCTTCAGCCCACAGAGGGTCTCTCCTTTTTCAGAATGCTAACCAAGCAGTCTAAAGGCCTACCAGAGCCTCTGAGATTTAATCAAGGGCCTAGCCCTTTTGTTCTCCGGTTCACTGTGACACCTCTTGGAAGACGGCCTCCTGTTAGGAGACGGTGGTGGGGGCGTCTCCAGGGTCAACTCTGTCTCTCTGGTCCCTCTGTCCACCACCAACTGCACCAACCCCAGCTCACTGAGGTCCCAGAAGACTTCAGGCCTCAGTCTCCAGAAAGACCCTCCTGCCAGGGGTGCAGAGCTCCTGTGTAGCACCAAATAAGTTCTAGAATCCGGTAGCTTCTGGAGAATGCAGAGGCTCGGAGCTGTTGGCACCTCCTTACCCATCCTGACCACGTCACACCCAGTCCTGCTTTCTTGGCAAACTTCCCTGATCTCATCCTGGTTTGGAACCSGGGAGCAGCACCCTCTCTCTAGGTCTTTCAGGCATGGTGGCCCTGCCCTCTATAAAGCTGCCAAAGRTGCCAAGCCCAACCATGACAGATGGCTGTCCTCTCACCGGAATGTCTGGCTGCTCCACCTGATCCTCCATGGGGAGTATCTCTGGCTCACCATCCCATGACCACAGAGAGGCCCTGGGGCCCAGGGCTGCCTCTGACACCCAGGCCTCTATCCACAGGCACCCTTCGATGGCTCCCGCCTGGTCTTCCCGCCAGTGCCAGCTTCTCTGGTGGTCGCCTTCTTCTACCTGGTCCTGCGGCTCATCCTGCCTGAGGCGGTGGGAGGCACTTTGTTCGTAGGTGGTCTCCTGGGCTACATCGTGTATGACATGACCCATTACTACCTGCACTTCGGCTCTCCACACAAGGGCTCCTACCTGTACAGAATGAAGGCCCACCACGTGAAGCATCACTTTGCACACCAGAAGTCAGGTGAGGACGGGTCCCCCTTCCCTTGTTCATTTGTTGATTTATTTGACAGCTGCCATTGAGTAGCTACCAAGATCCCGGCTCCATTTAAAGTACTGGGCACACACAACGGGCTCCCTCTTTACCACTTTCTGGTGGAAGTGGCTGTGCAGAGACAGGCAAACAAGGAAGTCAATAAATGGCAAAGATGATTTCAGACAGCATAAGTGCCATAAAGAAAATAAAGCAAGGTGGTATTTGAGGAACCACAGGCGTGGGAGGAGGGGCCGAACACCATCCAGTAAAGCATTATGTGGACCTTGTGTGTGCTTTTAAACTTTCTGACAGCCACATTAAAAAGGAAGAATAAACATGAATGGTTGGAACTTTAATGCTATATTTATTAAACCCAGTAAAAATAACACGTGATTAATATAAAAAAAATCATTAGTGAGCTATCTTGCATTCTTTCTCTTATACTAAGTCTTCAAAATCCAAGGTGTTTTTTGCACCAAAAACACATGTCGATGGATGTCAAGTCTTCACTGGGAATACTGGATCTTTATCTAGATCTTATAAAATCTAGATCCGCAGGCGTAAGCTGCTCCAGACGTGCTTACATGCTTTCTAGTAACTGAATTGAGTATCCCTTTTTCACATTGAAACTGAATTCTAATGGGATAAAGTCCGAAATTCAGCTCCTCTGGAGCTGTTGCCACATTTCCAGTACCTAGTGACCACATGTAGCAGCTAGAGGACAGCAAAGCTCAAAACAGAATGGCCCAGGAAGGGATTACTGCAAATGCCATTAGAGCTGAGGCCCAAATAAAGAGAAGCCAGGGCTGGGGTTGTAGCTCAGTGGTCGAGCACTTGCCTAGCAAGTGTGAGGCCCTGGGTTCAATTCTCAGCACTGAATATACATAAATTAAAGGTATACCAACAACTAAAAAARTATATTTAAAAAAATAAAAATAAAGAAAAGCCAGCATCTGGGAAGGAGTGTGCCAAGAGCAAGGTTGGTTTGGCCAGCCCTGGGGCAGAATGGAAGCTGGCCCCATCAGAGGTGAGAAGGGCAGGGGAGAAGCAGGCAGAGCCAGCCAATCCCAGGGACTCAGGCTAGACCAGGAGCTTGGGCTTATTCCCACTGTACCCTGGGGAATAGAAACTAGAAACAAGGTTGCCTTGTACTCCTGTCCTACCAGGGCAGCCCTGGCCGACAGGGCGGATGTTGAAATCTTCCCTGCACACCCTCCCTGCCCTGGCTCCCTTCCCGGGTAGGTTTATCTCTGCCTCTTCGTCGGTACCTTACCTTCTTCCCCACTTGTTTCCTTTTCTAGGATTTGGCATCAGCACTAAATTGTGGGATTACTTTTTCCACACACTCATCCCAGAGGAAGGCCACCCAAAGACGCAGTGACGGCTCCTCCCAGCTCCTCCATTCTGCCCTCAGCCTGGCTGTGGCCCCCGCCCCCACCCTCCATCCAGACCCTGCTAAGAAGGTTGGTTTGGCCAGGCAGGATGGGCTTTGTTGGGCCCTGGGTAGAGGGTGCCAAGGAGACCCTGAGGCAGGACTGCCCTCCCGGCTCACCATGGGAGGATCATGGCCTCTGGATGGCCAGGTGGCCCTCAGGGACTGGCTCCTTCCCGGAGCATCCTGGCCTTTCCACTGGCCTCCTGGCTCAGCCTCAGCCCRTGAGACTGCCTCAGAGCCCAACCCACAGCCCCAAGGGGCATGAAGAAAACTGACCCCTGGGGCCAGACCTGGGCCCCCTCTGTGCCTGAGCACCTTGGGCTCCCTGGGAGCCGCCTCGAGCGGCGGAGGGACCAGTGTCACAGCAGGGCAGGGCGGTGGGGCCTGTGGCTCTGCCGGCCCCTCCTGCACTTCCTGGAGAGGGTTGGATGGCTCTGAGGTGAATGAAGGGCTCTCACAAGAAGAGACAGCATGATGCCTCCCACAGGCCTCCGTGGGTCCCAGGGCAGCCCATCCAGCCCCTGCCACCACAAGAGGCTGCTCACGCCGCCGGCCCTCCCCTGTCTGTGCAGAAGCCTAGGGTGTCTGGCCACTGCCTCCAGCCGGGCAGGTGCCCTGGCCCCTGTCTTTGGGAATCACCAGCTGCTCTAGCCATCTCTCCTCTGGCCCTAGAGCCACAAAACTTCTTCCCCAGGGAGGCTGAAGAGGCCCTTCCACTGGTGGCCCACCCCAGCCCCAGCCATTCTTGGCCTCCACCTGGCACAAGTGGGCCCCTGGGACCCCACTCAGGACCCGCCCAGCCAGTGCCTCCTGAAGCCARGGAGGAGCCTTCGTGTGGTGCCTTATCTCCCGCCCCACGTCCCACACCCTGCAGATGAGGCTCCGTCCAGACTTCCTTGTAACCAAAATCCTCACTGCTCCTGAGAGAGGGTCTTATTTATAAATGATAGAACTGTCCTCAGTCTGGCCACAGACCAAGCAGCTAGTCAGACAGCCCTGTCTAATCCTACATGTCGAACTCATGTAAAAATCGCTTTGCCCTCTTTTTGGCCCCTTCTCACCCACAGACCATTACTACTTGAAACTTGTTAAAAACTCGATGCGTGTAAAGGCTAAAAGAGAAGCAGTTCGACCGATCCTGTGATTTGTACTGTTTACTGCGAGAGGCTATTTAAAGATTTTGGAATAAATATACAAAATTACAGTTGTGAAAAAAAAAAAAGATGTAAATAAATTGTATATTTTGAAAAATAAAACATTGAAAAGAAACCTGCAAGGATTCGTTGTTGTTTGTCGATGCCAACTCCATCGGATTCCTCCGTCGTGACTGGGACGTGGCAGGGGGACTAACAGGGAAAGGATTTTATTTTTTTTTCTTAAGTATTTATTTTTTAGTTATAGGTGGACATAATATCTTTGCTTTATTTTTATGTGGTGCTAAGGATCGAACCCAGTGTCTCACATGTGCAAGGCAAGCACTCTCCCTCTGAGCCACAATCCCAGCCCCAGGATTTTATTTTATACTGACCAGGTTGTTAGAACTGCTGGGACCTGGTGACAATAAAAAGCTGACCGACTCTTATGGATTTATTACTGTGTTTAAATCCTCCTTAGGTGGCATCTCCCCTTAGTGCCTGCATCCCAGGGGATGGCTCCTGCAAACTACCTGGATATGGCCACCGGGAAGGGGTCTCTTCTGGAATTTATGCAACCCTAGCTAAGATTCATCAAGAATGTTTAATGTTTGCTGGGTGTGATGGTGCACAACTGTAATCCCAGTGACTCAGGAGGTTTAAGCAGGAGGATGGAGAGTTCAAAGCTTCAGCAACTTAGCCAGGCTCTAAGCAATTCAGCGAGACCCTCTCTCTAATAAAATATAAAAAAGGGCTGGGGATGTGGCTTTGTGGTTAAGCACCCTGGGTTCAATCCCTGGTACAAAAAAACAAACAAAAAAAAAAAACCACCATTTTTTTAAAATGTTTGTTCAGGAGAAGTGCTGTTTAAATTGTGATCTGCGTGAAGTAAATATGAGCAGGGTGCAGGGGCACAGGCCTGTAATCTCAGGTTCTCAGGAGGCTGAGGTGGGAGGATTTCCAAGTTCAATACCATCCTGGGCAACTTAGCAAGACCCTGTCTCACAATTAAAATTTTTTTAAAGGCCTGGGAATGTTGTTCAGTAGTAGAGCACCCCTCACCCCAGGTACTACCACACACACACACACAGAAAAAAATTAGGATCAATCGGCCTCACCGATTCTCCATCAAAGACCCAGCTGGCCAAGGACAGACCAGAGCTGTTGTGTGTCTAGAGGGACATCACTTTGGCTTCACAGACCTGGGGCTTTGGAGCATTTCCTGGCGGACCTGAAGAACTACCCTATTAATTCTGCTCCATTCCATTCCTCTGTTGCCTCTGGTCTCTGATCTCTATTTTTGAACTTCCTACAATTTCTTACTGTGCCCAGCACAATGACCAATTTGTAACAAGGCGGATAAATGCTAGTCTTCTCTCCAGCCAGTATGTCTAATGGTTGCCTCTCAGCCTGTTTCCTGGCCTCTGCTGCCCTCTGGTGGCATCAAGGAGCCCTTCCCCTTTATGACTGCCTTCATATGACTGTTTCTTTCTTTCTTTTTTTTTTTTTTTTTTTTTGTGATTTTTTTTTTTATTGGT